TTAACCCCTCTTCAGCTAACTATACCTCATTTTTCTTCCTTAAAAATATTTTTTATTAATGCAATTTATTATTTCATAGACATAGCGGTTTTAAATGGGTGCAAGTCCCGTATAACGTTCTAATTCTATCAGCATCTATCGCTACACAAAAATAAAAGTCATATGGGCACTATGTCACTACTTACATATCTGTATATATGTAAAATATAGAAAGTAAACATACCAAACATAGAGACATGGGAAAATGCAGGCGATGGTTATGTTGGGATAGTAGCGTTGCGGACTGCGCATGCAGAAGAAAAAGCTCTCTCATGCTCCACCCGCATAGTAAAACTGCAACCCTACTTCCAGACAAGGCTAGATCCGCCATGTAATGTCAGCTATAAGTAAACATATATTTAAATTGGACTGTTATAGTAATTCTCGATAGTAGGTAGTACGTAGATAGCGACGAGTAATCCCGTCTGTCAAGCTGGGATAACTATTTCCACGCACACTAATTCTGAGAGCAAGGATAATCTTAGTTTTGATCTTTGCTTTCCTTATTTAAGTTGCATTATTCGTTTATTGATAATTTAGGAATCTACGCGGTGTAATGAAGACTGCATCTTACATTTAACTATTACTGGATTGATGAAATGTCATTTGTTCACTGGTGAAATACTAAATGCAAACATCTGTAGTCGTCGGTAGTATAGTGGTAGTATCCCCGCCTGTCACGCGGGAGATCGGGGTTCGATTCCCCGCCGAGGAGGAATGTGTTTTTTTACTACTATTCTCTTTTCCACTCTTTTCTCGCAATTAGAACAAACAAATATAATCCTTTTTCAAGTTTAACTAAATAATTTTAGTAGATTCCTAATTTGCGCAGCGAAAACTAGCCTTCTCTTCAGTCATGGCAGTGCACATGTCTGTGACAAATCGGGAAAAATAGTTATATTGCTACAGCTTGTGTAATACTTGGCTGTAAATTTCCAAACAAGTCATACTACGCATTGAATACAATATCGCTATATATACCAAGCAATATTAAGTAACTTTGCAGCTTTTCACTAATTATAATATATCCCTTAAGCATACATTATTATTGTGTTTTCCACCGATCCGTTGCTGCTGTTTTACCAAATGTTGCAAAGCAGACAGACACAGAGTAGGCATAACAAATTCTCGCTTAAAACTTTACTACTTGTGTTGCACATAATTGTGCGAAAAGATGGGATACTTTTCCAATATTTCAGTTGCTGTACAACAAATTGCTCAACTGAGATTATTTTAAAATAAATAATTATAATCGGCAACGTGCAAAAATATCTGAACCGGTAAACAACGTTTTTAAAATTTATGCCCATAATAACGTCCTGTATACTATTACTAAGCAGAATAACCTCCAGTCCTGTTGCTGCAGTTTACAGTGACAACTAACATCAATTAAATGTATTAGAAGTTCAGGAGCATATTTTGAATATGAATGCATGGTAGTTTTTTAAACTATTTGTCTCCAACGCTACCACATGTCCTTCGATAGCTCAGTTGGTAGAGCGGGGGACTGTAGTTGTTCGCAGCAATAATCCCTGGGTCACTGGTTCGAATCCGGTTCGAAGGATTCCAACTTTTAGACGTGTTGATAAAAAGCTAAAAAAGCTTCCTCTTTCTTACGTGAACTTGATCTACTACATCGACTCTGGAGTAAGTGTCCAATGGTTCAACCATTTCTTAAAGTAGAACTGAAGATGAAAGACAAGTACTAATTGATTAAATTATTACTAAAAAAAACACATGCGCAATGAGAGAGTGAACTGTTTTACACCTGAACTGGCTTGTGTGCTTGCCGATTTTAAGGGGTTATGCAGGTAGAGACGCAGGCTCCGTCGCTCCGAGTATTCCTGCCTGGCAAACTATTCGACGAACACTATATTTCCGGTTATCGATTAATGTTATAGTAAATTCTGTGAGCATGCAAGTGGAATTTAAATAATCTTCACGCTACTTCAGCTGCTTGTAAGTCATATTTCACTAACATAATAGCGAATATACGTATAAATCACAATATTATTCAAATACGTGACGCTGTCATCTAGGCACATGCCCACATTTGGTATGCGTCACGCAAGAGAAATATCACCTGTTCGTAAAGTATCAAAACCGAACGTCAACAATCCTCGGTAGTATAGTGGTGAGTATCCCCGCCTGTCACGCGGGAGACCGGGGTTCGATTCCCCGCCGGGGAGCAGCATGCTTTGTTACTATTATTCTTTTTACGTATCCTTCTCACAATCAGAACAATTGAAGTAATTTTTTTCTAGTTTAGACGATTAATTTGTGAAAGATACTTGATTTGCACATGGAAAAGGGTAGAGTCGCTTCTTAATCATGACAGTGCCTGTGCCAAATTGCGAAAATACGTTATATTGGGGAGCAATTGGCAAACAGTGGATTACGTAATATTTTGATGCAATTGCCAAACATGTAAAGCAACGTAACATAATGAACGTAATGTATTACGCAATGTTACGTAATTTTAGTCGAGCTTTTCATTATTTGGCTTTCATAATCGTGAGTCCCACAAGCGCGGCGTTGACAAACTGTAATTTATTTAAATAATAGATAAAACTGGCACACATCAAGGTCCGGATTGGAGAGGGTTATCCTAAACATTGAGCTATTAACCCCTCTTCAGCTAACTATACCTCATTTTTCTTCCTTAAAAATATTTTTTATTAATGCAATAGATTATATCATAGACATAGCGGTTTTAAATGGGTGCAAGTCCCGTATAACGTTCTAATTCTATCAGCATCTATCGCTACACAAAAATAAAAGTCATATGGGCACTATGTCACTACTTACATATCTGTATATATGTATAATATAGAAAGTAAACATACCAAACATAGAGACATGGGAACATGCAGGCGATGGTTATGTTGTGATAGAAGCGTTGCGGACTGCGCATGCAGAAGAAAAAGGCTCTCTCATGCACCACCCCCATAGTAAAACTGCAACCCTACTTGCAGACAAAGCTAGATCCGCCATGTAATGTCAGCTATAAGTAAACATTTATTTCAATTGGACTGTTATAGTAATTCTCGATAGTAGGTAGTACGTAGATAGTGACGAGTAATCCCGTCTGCATGTCAAGCTGGGATAACTATTTCCACGCACACTAATTCTGAGAGCAAGGATAATCTTAGTTACGATCTTTGCTTTCCTTATTTAAGCTGTATTATTCGTTTATTGATAATTAAGGAATCTACGCGGTAAAATGAAGACTGCATCTTACATTTAATTATTACTGGATTGATGAAATGTCATTTGTTCAGTGGTGAAACACTAAATGCAAACGTTTGTAGTCCTCGGTAGTATAGTGGTGAGTATCCCCGCCTGTCACGCGGGAGACCGGGGTTCGATTCCCCGCCGAGGAGGAATGTGTTCTTTTACTACTATTCTCTTTTCCACTCTTTTCTCGCAATTAGAACAAACAAATATAATCCTTTTTGAAGTTTAACTAATTAATTCTAGTCGATTCCTAATTTGCGCAGCGAAAACTAGCCTTCTCTTCAGTCATGGCAGTGCACATGCCTGTGACAAATCGGGAAAAATAGTTATATTGCTACAGCTTGCGTAATACTTGGCTGTAAATTTCCAAACAAGTCATACTACGCATTGAATACAATATCGCTATATATACCAAGCAATATTAAGTAACTTTGCAGCTTTTCACTAATTATAATATATCCCTTATGCATACATAATTATTGTGTTTTGCCACCGATCTGTTGCTGCTGTTTTACCAAGTGTTGCAAAGCAGACAGACACAGAGTAGGCATAACAAATTCTCGCTTAAAACTTTACTACTTGTGTTGCACATAATTGTGGGAACAGATGGGATACTTTTCCAAAATTTCAGTTGCTGTACAACAAATTGCTCAACTGAGATTATTTTAAAATAAATAATTATAATCGGCAACGTGCAAAAATATCTGAACCGGTAAACAGCGTTTTTAAAATTTATGCCCATAATAACGTCCTGTATACTATTACTAAGCAGAATAACCTCCAGTCCTGTTGCTGCAGTTTACAGTGACAACTAACATCAATTAAATGTATTAGAAGTTCAGGAGCATATTTTGAATATGAATGCATGGTAGTTTTTTAAACTATTTGTCTCCAACGCTACCACATGTCCTTCGATAGCTCAGTTGGTAGAGCGGGGGACTGTAGTTGTTCGCAGCAATAATCCCTGGGTCACTGGTTCGAATCCGGTTCGAAGGATTCTAAACTTTTAGACGTGTTGATAAAAAGCTAAAAAAGCTTCCTCTTTCTTACGTGAACTTGATCTACTACATCGAATCTGGAGTAAGTGTCCAATGGTTCAACCATTTCTTAAAGTAGAACTGAAGATGAAAGACAAGTACTAATTGATTAAATTATTACTGAAAAAAACACATGCGCAATGAGAGAGTGAACTGTTTTACACCTGAACTGGCTTGTGTGCTTGCCGATTTTAAGGGGTTATGCAGGTAGAGACGCAGGCTCCGAGTATTCCTGCCTGGCAAACTATTCGACGAACACTATATTTCCGGTTATCGATTAATGTTATAGTAAATTCTGTGAGCATGCAAGTGGAATTTAAATAATCTTCACGCTACTTCAGCTGCTTGTAAGTCATATTTCACTAACATAATAGCGAATATACGTATAAATCACAATATTATTCAAATACGTGACGCTGGCATCTAGGCACATGCCCACATTTGGTATGCGTCACGTAAGAGAAATATCACCTGTTCGTAAAGTATCAAAACCGAACGTCAACAATCCTCGGTAGTATAGTGGTGAGTATCCCCGCCTGTCACGCGGGAGACCGGGGTTCGATTCCCCGCCGGGGAGCAGCATGCTTTGTTACTATTATTCTTTTTACGTATCCTTCTCACAATCAGAACAATTGAAGTAATTTTTTTCTAGTTTAGACGATTAATTTGTGAAAGATACTTGATTTGCACATGGAAAAGGGTAGAGTCGCTTCTTAATCATGACAGTGCCTGTGCCAAATTGCGAAAATACGTTATATTGGGGAGCAATTGGCAAACAGTGGATTACGTAATATTTTGATGCAATTGCCAAACATGTAAAGCAACGTAACATAATGAACGTAATGTATTACGCAATGTTACGTAACTTTTAGTCGAGCTTTTCATTATTTGGCTTTCATAATCGTGAGTCCCACAAGCGCGGCGTTGACAAACTGTAATTTATTTAAATAATAGATAAAACTGGCACACATCAAGGTCCGGATTGGAGAGGGTTATCCTAAACATTGAGCTCTTAACCCCTCTTCAGCTAACTAGACCTCATTTTTCTTCCTTAAAAATATTTTTTATTAATGCAATAGATTATATCATAGACATAGCGGTTTTAAATGGGTGCAAGTCCCGTATAACGTTCTAATTCTATCAGCATCTATCGCTACACAAAAATAAAAGTCATATGGGCACTATGTCACTACTTACATATCTGTATATATGTATAATATAGAAAGTAAACATACCGAACATAGAGACATGGGAACATGCAGGCGATGGTTATGTTGGGATAGTAGCGTTGCGGACTGCGCATGCAGAAGAAAAAGGCTCTCTCATGCACCACCCCCATAGTAAAACTGCAACCCTACTTGCAGACAAGGATAGATCCGCCATGTAATGTCAGCTATAAGTAAACATTTATTTCAATTGGACTGTTACAGTAATTCTCGATAGTAGGTAGTACGTAGATAGTGACGAGTAATCCCGTCTGTCAAACTGGGATAACTATTTCCGGGCACACTAATTCTGAGAGCAAGGATAATCTTAGTTATGATCTTTGCTTTCCTTATTTAAGCTGTATTATTCGTTTATTGATAATTAAGGAATCTACGCGGTGTAATGAAGACTGCATCTTACATTTAATTATTACTGGATTAATCAAATGTCATTTGTTCAGTGGTGAAATACTAAATGCAAACGTTTGTAGTCCTCGGTAGTATAGTGGTGAGTATCCCCGCCTGTCACGCGGGAGACCGGGGTTCGATTCCCCGCCGAGGAGGAATGTGTTTTTTTACTACTATTCTCTTTTCCACTCTTTTCTGGCTATTAGAACAAACAAATATAATCCTTTTTCAAGTTTAACTAATTAATTTTAGTAGATTCCTAATTTACACAGCGAAAACTAGCCTTCTCTCCAGTCATAGCAGTGCACATGCCTGTAATATATGCATAGCTTGCGTAATATTTGGCTGTAAATTGCCAAACAAGCCATATTGCGCATTGAATACAATATCGCTATACCAAGCAATATTACGTAACTTTGCAGCTTTGCACTAATTATAATATATCACTTATGATGCAAAATTGTGTTTTGCTACCAATCTGCTGCTGCTGTTTTACGAAGTATTGCAAAGCAGACAATCACGTAGTAGGCAAAAAAAATTCTCGCTTAAAACTTTACTATTTGTGTTGCACATAATTGTTCGAACAGATGGGATACTTTTCCAATATTTCAGTTGCTGTACAACAAATTGCTCAAGTGAAATTATTTTAAAATAAATTATTATAATCGGCAACGCGCAAAAATACCTGAACCGGTAAACAGCCGTAATGACGTCCTGTATACTATTAATAAGCAACATAACCTCCAGTCCTGTTGATGGAGGGTCCTGAAGGGGGGGTCCCAATCCCATTTCCCACCTGAAATTTTGGCAAAATCCCAGTCCCAGTTGGATTTTTATTAGAAATCCCAGTCCCAGTTATTGAAATCCCAGTCAATAAAAAACCCTTTATTTATCGGTAGAATAAACAGTTTTAAGACCTTTTAAGCAAGTGGCGGACACTTTATGAAATATTAGGGGGGGGGGGGCTCGTGCCGAAGGCACGGAAAATTTTTAAATTTGAATCCCGGAAATGGCATTTGCAGCATTCTGAGACACGCATAATCAGAAAACCCAGAATTCCGGGTGCCAGAGTATGCTTGTTTGCAGGTAGTGCTTTGAATAATATAGTTAACAACAAAAATCATGACCAAAGACACCAAAAACGGATCAAAACTGTATTTTAAAATAGTCAAAACGCAGAAAAATTGGGAATCGACTCACATTACCTCAATCCCATTCCCATTTTTGAGGACTCATTTCCCATTCCAAGTGGCCAAATCCCAGTCCCAGCAACCCAAATCCCATTTTCCCAGTCTAAAAATAGATCAATCCCAGTTCCCATTTTACCCCTTCAGGACCCTCTTGATGCAGTTTGCAGTTACAATTTGAACATCAAATAAATATATTAGAATTCAGGAGCATATTTTGAATATGAATGCATGGTAGTTTTTTAAACTATTTGTCTCCAACGCTACCACATGTCCTTCGATAGCTCAGTTGGTAGAGCGGGGGACTGTAGTTGTTCCCAGCAATAATCCCTAGGTCACTGGTTCGAATCCGGTTCGAAGGATTCTAAACTTTTAGATGCGTTGATAAAAAGCTAAAAAAGCTTCCTCTTTCTTACGTGAACTTGAGCTACTACATCGAATGTGGAGTAAGTGTCCAATGGTTCAACCATTTCTTAAAGTGGAACTGAAGATGACAGAGAAGTACTAATTGATGAAATTATTACTGAAAAAAAAAACACATGCACAATGAGAGAGTAAAGGGTTTTACACCTGGACTAGCTAGCTTGTGTGCTTGCCGATTTTTAGGGTTATGCAGGTAGAGACGCAGGCTCCGAGTATTCCTGCCTGGCAAACTATTCGACGAACACTATATTTCAGGTTATCGATTAATGTTATAATAAATTCTGTGAGCATGCAAGAGGAATTTAAGTAATCTTCACGCTACTTCTGCTGCTTGTAAGTCATATTTCACTAATATAATAGCGAATATACGTATAAATCACAATATTATTCAAATACGTGACGCTGGCCTCTAGGCACATGCCCACATTTGGTATGCGTCACGCAAGAGAAATATCACCTGTTCGTATAGCATCAAAACCGAACGTCAACAATCCTCGGTAGTATAGTGGTGAGTATCCCCGCCTGTCACGCGGGAGACCGGGGTTCGATTCCCCGCCGGGGAGCAGCATGCTTTGTTACTATTATTCTTTTTACGTATCCTTCTCACAATCAGAACAATTAAAGTATTTTTTTTCTAGTTTAGTCGATTAATTTGTGAAAGATACTTGATTTGCACATGGAAAAGGGTAGAGTCGCTTCTTAATCGTGACAGTGCCTGTGCCAAATTGCGAAAATACGTTATATTCGGGAGCAATTGGCAAACAGTGGATTACGTAATATTTTGATGCAATTGCCAAACATGTAAAGCAACGTAACATAATGAACGTAATGTATTACGCAATGTTACGTAACTTTCAGTCGAGCTTTTCATTATTTGGCTTTCATCATAATCGTGAGTCGCACAAGCGCGACGTTGACAAACTGTAATTTATTTAAAAAATAGATAAAACTGGCACACATCGAGGTCCGGATTGGAGAGGGTTATCCTAAACATTGAGCTCTTAACCCCTCTTCAGCTGACTAGACCTCATTTTTCTTCCTTAAAAATATTTTTTATTAATGCAATAGATTATATCATAGACATAGCGGTTTTAAATGGGTGCAAGTCCCGTATAACGTTCTAATTCTATCAGCATCTATCGCTACACAAAAATAAAAATCAAATGGGCACTATGTCACTACTTACATATCTGTATATATGTATAATATAGAAAGTAAACATACCGAACATAGAAACATGGGAACATGCAGGCGATGGTTATGTTGGGATAGTAGCGTTGCGGACTGCGCTTGCAGAAGAAAAAGGCTCTCTCATGCACCACCCCCTTAGTAAAACTGCAACCCTACTTGCAGACAAGGCTAGATCCGCCATGTAATGTCAGCTATAAGTAAACATTTATTTCAATTGGACTGTTATAGTAATTCTCAATAGTAGGTAGTACGTGGATAGTGACTAGTAATCCCGTCTGTCAAGCTTGGATAACTATTTCCACGCACACTAATTCTGAGAGCAAGGATAATCTTAGTTATGATCTTTGCTTTCCTTATTTAAGCTGTATTATTCGTTTATTGATAATTAAGGAATCTACGCGGTGTAATGAAGACTGCATCTTACATTTAATTATTAGTGGATTGATGAAATGTCATTTGTTCAGTGGTGAAACACTAAATGTAAACGTTTGTAGTCCACGGTAGTATTGTGGTGAGTATCCCCGCCTGTCACGCGGGAGACTGGGGTTCGATTCCCCGCCGTGGAGAAACATGTTTTTTTACTACTATTCTCTTTTCCACTCTTTTCTGGCAATTAGAACAAACAAATATAATCCTTTTTCAAGTTTAACTAATTAATTTTAGCAGATTCTATATTTGCACAGCGAAAACTGGCCTTCTCTCCAGTCATGGCAGTGCACATGCCTGTAATATATGCATAGCTTGCGTAATATTTGGCTGTAAATTGCCAAACAACTGATATTACGCATTGAATACAATATCGCTATACCAAGCAATATTACGTAACTTTGCAGCTTTTCACTAATTATATGCATAATTATATGCATAAGGATGCTGCGCGCATAATTGTGTTTTGCCACCGCGATCTGCTGCTGCTGCTTTACCAAGTAGTCCAAAGCCGACAGACACAGAGTAAGCAAAACAAGTTCTCGCTCAAAGCTTTACTACTTGTGTTGAACATAAATGTGAGAACAGATGGGATGCTTTTCCATTATTTCAGTTGCTGTACTTCAAATTACTGAACTGAGATTATTTTAAAATAAATAATTATAATCGGCAACGTCCCAATATAGCAGGAATCGGTAAACGGCGTTTTTAAAATGTATGCCCATAGTCATATATTCATAAATCAAAAGCAAAAATCCCTAGGTCTCTGGTTCGAATCTGGTTCTTAGGACTATAAATTTTAGATGTGTGTGTAAAAAGCTAAAAAAGTGTCCTCTTTCTTAGGTGTACTTTATCGAATCTGTAGTAAGTGTCCAATCATTAATCCATTTCTTAAAGTATAACTGACGATGACAGAGAATTACTAATCGAATATTATTACTGAAGAAACTCATGCGCAATGAGAGAGCGAAGAGCTTACACATGCACTGAACTAACTTGTACACTTTCCGGTCTTGAACGGTTAGGCAGGTAGAGACGCATGTTCCTGCCTGTCAAGCTATTCCACGAACACTCTTTTTCCGGTTAATATATTAATTAATGTTAATAAATTGTAAGAGCAAGAGGAATTTAAATAATCTTCACGCTACTTCAGCTGTAATTAAAATATTTGTCTACAACGGTACCAGATCTCCTTCGATAGCTCAGTTGGTAGAGCTGGGGACTGTAGTTGTTCGCAGCATTAATCCCTAGGTCACTGGTTCGAATCCGGTTCGAAAGATTCTAAATGTTAGGTGTGTTTGTAAAAGGCTAAAAAAGCGTTCTCTTTCTTAGGTGTACTTTATCGAATCTGTGGTAAGTGTCCAATCATTGAACTATTTAAAGTATAACTGAAGATGACGAAGAAGTACTAATCGAATATTATTACTTAGAAAACACATGCGCAATGAGAGAGCGAAGGGTTTACATCTGAACTAGCTTGTGGGTTTTCGGGTTTTAAGTGGTTAGGCAGGTAGAGACCCAGGCTGCGAATATTCCTGCCTGTCAAACTATTACACGAACACTGTTTTTCCGGTTATCAATTAATGTTAATAATTGTACGAGCAACTGGAATTTAAATAATCTTCACGCTACTTCAGCTGTAAGTTATATTTCACGAATATATAGCGAATATACGTAATGACAATATGATCAAAATTCGCGAAGATGGCCTCTAGGCACATCCAACATATCATTTGTTTTGGGTCTCGCGAGAAATATCAACAATCCTCGGTAGTATAGATACATACATACATATACATACAAAACTTTATTTAAACCACGCTAGCCTCAACAGCCGTTGGAAGGCTGGTGGTGAGTATCCTCGCCTGTCACGCGGGAGACCGAGGATCGGGAGACCGGGGTTCCCCACAGGGGGGCAGCATCGTTTTTGCTTAGTATTCTTTTTTCCGTGTTAATTAGAACAATTGATATAAATTTTTTTCAAGTTTAGTTAACGTTCTAATTCTCTCAGCATTTTCCGCTGCTAATATTCATCGAAATCTTAAAGTCATATGGGCACTAAGTCACTACATACATATATATGTATATATGTATAATATAAAAAGTAAACATGCCTAACATATAGACATGGGAACATGCAGGTGATGATAATGTTGGGATAATAGAGTTGCAGCGAACTGCTGAAAAGAATGGGAGGTAAAGCTCTCTTATGTAGAGCACCGGCATGGAAAACGTGCACCACTTCTTGGAGACAAGGCTGGATCCGCCCACGTAATGTCGTCTCTCAGTAATATATTTATTTAAAATTTTCTGATAGTATTTCTCGATAGTAGGTAGTGCGTCTATATTTCCTCGCGCACTTATTCTTTGAGCATGGATAATCATTATGATCGTAATGTGCTTTCCCTGATTAAGCTGTATCATTCATTTATTGATAAGGAATGTACCTATGGAATGTTCCCATTGTAATGAAGATTGCATCTTACACTAAATTAATACTGCATTGACCAATTGTCACTTGGTCAGTGGTGAAATATTAACTCCAAACGTTTGTACAGGGGCGTAACTTCAGCTTCAGCATTGGGGGAACGGTATTTTGGCCCACTAAAAGGGCGTGGTCATGATATTGTGCCCAACAAAAATGTGTGGTCACCGCACTGCAAGTCTGTAACTTCAACTAGAGGTTTATTTTTTCCAAACCTTTTACTTCGCATGTGTTCAGATTTTATGATGTTATACATTATATCACAGTTCTACACTGGGTTGTTAATTAGAAACTTAGGATTTTACAAAAGTTTTATGGGCAGTTTTCTGTTTTTCTTTGCAATCCACGCCTTAAGAACTACGTTAAAGTCAATCTTGTCAGTCAAGTTCTTTTCGGCTGCTAGAACAATCAAGTCCTCAAGGCGTTCGCCAGACATTGTCGACCGCAAGAAATTCTTTATAACTTTCATTTTACTGAAAGTTCTTTCATTTTTTGCGACAGTTACGGGAGCAGTTAACAGCAGCTTGAAACACTTGTAGACAGCAGGCAGTATTGACTTATTCCTGTATGCAACATCAGCAACATCATGAACGGTCTTGCCGCTTTTTTTCTCACTGTTCACAATGTTTTCAAACACGCTAAATTCTGCATACAAATACTTAGGGTCGAACAGGAACAGATGGAGGGAAAAGCTTTGATACCGACTCAAGATCCTCACGTGTTGGTTCTGTTAGTGGCGGCTGAAGAATTTCTGCCAGAGGCTTCAGCTTTTCCAAACATTGTTCCATGTTCTCTCTGTATTCTCTGATCAGAGAATCCAAAACTTCACACATCCCCTTACGATAGTATGCTTGAAATTGAATAGTTGCAGCAGTTTCTGGGTGGTCATCAATTCGGCTGCTTACCGATCCTCGGTCTCTTCTGAGCGCAGTTTTCTTCAGGGTTTAGGCCAAATGACTTAGCGAATTCGACACTACTTTGTATCTGATCATTCATTTCAACTTCACTACTCCGTATTCTTTCGAGAGAAGTAACAGTTCCATCGATCAGGGTTAAAGCATCTAAGATGTTAAATTCCGGTTTCTGCATTTCTGTTGTCAATATCTGCGTCTTCCTCATGATTACCCGCATAAACATTACGGCAAATATAAAATTGAATTCAAGAATTTTCTTCAGCAGTGCTGATGCTTTCCTTCTTGTTGTTCCGTCATCGTCAGATCCTTGCATCTACTATTATAGCCAGAGCCTGCTTGACAGCCTCAAATGACCTCCACATTGCTTCAATGGATTCGTATCTGTAAACCCAGCGGGTCTTCGACAGATTCCGAAGTTTCAGAGCATTTTCCACTTTCTGCAGCAGATCTTTCAAGACTGAGTCCCGTTTGCAGGTTCTGCTGAAGAATACGTACAGTTCTTCCAAGACGTTGTACATTTCAGAGAACATGGCTGCTTTTGAACAGTGCTCAGTGAATGTATTGGACCTTAAAAATTGATGAAAATAAATAATTGCATTGATTGTACAGTATGTTAATAATATATATATATATATATATATACATATAATAACTTATTATGTTAATCACATCTAAGAGATGTTGAGATTTTGTGTGGTTTCAGAAACGAAATATTAGTTTCTAGGCCTCCCAAAATGATCGCAAGGTAGATTTTGGATTTTATCAGGCAAAGTATTATGGTCGACACACATTCTCTGACTGACTTTATATAAGGTTAGGTAACTTAAAGAACTACGTAATATACTTTTTATAGAAATTAGTTACAATGTTATTGGGACTTTTGTCCTGTGTTCATTCCCTGCCACTAACTGTAAGTATTGTCTGTAATATGGTTCGTATGTAATCTGTGGTAAATCTATTAAACTAAACAAACATAGCTACCTGTGGCCCTAACAAGGTATATATGGGACACTGCGACCAACTTTATCTTGCAAGCACTTTTGAGCACCATTGTAAACTCCAGACATTGATGCAGTGTAGTCGTATGACTGGTAGACTAGGCCGTCTGTACTTGAAATTCCGGACTCAAGTGATTCCAATATTTCTTTCGCTTGTCCTTCACCAGTTTTATCAATCGCTTCTGTCATCTCTAGAACCCTTTCCGTTGGAGAGTTTTCTTCATCAAGATATCTCACTGCAACAACAATCTGTAAGTATTGGCAGTGTCAGGTGATATATCTGCCATAACAGAGAACATTTTTGCGGATTCCAGACCAGCTACAATGCGTGCTTTAACATCTTCGGCTAACAAACTTACGAACTCATTTTGTGAATGCGGCGACAAGTACTTTACTGCATATGGCTTCAAGTTCCTATCGCTGAGCCAAGACTTCAATTGCGCGTTGTGTCTGGCAACAAGATTTACTATCTGGACAAAGTTGCCATCAGATTCGTCGTGTCCTGGAAAAGCGAGCTGTTGTCTGGCAAGGGTTCTAGCGATGTCAAACAAGATCTTAATGACTTCTTGATTGCGTAATTGTTCTCTTCTTCCTGGATTTTTGCGCTCGCATCTGCTTATCTAGCATCACGTCAACATGTGCCATGTTATTGGCAAAATGAGCAAGTTGTTGTAAGGCAGCTTTGTGTGATGCAGAACAAAAATGTTGTGCCAATTTCCCTTTGTCCTCTTTGCCACGACTTTTCATTTTGTCCCACGACTTGACACCCTTGATTCATGCTTCAGAAGCCCTCTCTCTTCCAACTCCAGATGGAAATATAGAGCAAACAAAACAGAAAGCAGAGTCTGTTTTCACACTATACTCTAGGTGAGGAAATTCGCTGTACCAAGAGGGCGAAAATCGTCTCTGCTTGTTAGGTCGAATGTCAGGATTATCAGGATAAGATTTAAGCTTTGGCTGGTAAGGCCCATTTTTTATCACTGTCTGCTTTTGTTCATCACTGAGTATTGAGGGTCGGTCTGCTGGATCGGCATTTTCACATTTTCCTTCTATTCTCTTCACATATCGTTAACTTTTGATATAGCTCCAAGAACATCTGGTAAGAGTTCTTCAGGATAGACAATCTCTGAGGATAATGCTTGTTGGACAACGATGCTGCACTCTTGAGCATTGCTTGCCAGTATTTTAACTTCTGCAATGCACATCTGCCACAATTCTACAGCATTCTGGTCTCCTTGTCCATTAGAAGCAGGATCACTGCCGTCATAATCACTGCTGTCATCGATAATCTGTCATAAAAATATTGACAAGAACGTTTATTAATTTGTGTCTTTGAGGTTGAACGTGAGAATGTCATATTCAAGGGTTGTGACCCGGGATAAGAAAATTAAGTGATTAACAACATTGTAATACTTACATCCTCTGGTAATCTCCTAGTTGAATCTTCACATGATTCTGTGCTGCTACATTCACCTGATTTATCTGTATCGCTGTCAGATATATAATCACAGTCTTCAAAATTTGGCAACTTGTCTTTGGAGGATTCCTAGACAACAGATTAAAGTGTTTTTAATCATTCTGCAAAGTTAAGAAAACAAGAATAGACTTATATTACCTACAAGTCTTAAACTTTCTCTCAAATAGCAAGAGAACTGTTTTGCAGCCTTGCAAATTAAAACATAAAATGTTGATTATGACTTAAAATCCTAAATGCACATGCATTATGCAATAAAGATAAAAAACACTCTGAGTACGGTTCCTACCTTTTCCTGTGTATCCTCGAGATTAGATGGAATAATATCACAAGATTCCTCAACTATTTGGGCAGATTTATTCGTTGTTGACAAAACAGCAGTGGATGAAAAATTGTCAGACTGAGCTAAAACATGACTTTTGGACTCGGAACCTGCTTGCATATCACATAGACTTGATGATGACACATGTGAATCCATCTAAAATGATGTAATTATTTGGATAATCAATACCAGGTTTTACTGGCCAAGGGGAAACCAAAGGAAAGCACAATGCAACCAAGTGCAATAAAGGGTTAATGTGACAAATCTCCTTCTGTCTAAGGAGTGAGGCCAGCCGGTTTGGTGATCAAGAGAAAAACTACAGGAAACACCATGTAATAGTCAAATAGTCTGAAATAGGGGTATTAAATTTGAACGACTACAGTTTAAATTTTAAATTTTAATTTAAACAACTACAATTTGCAATTAATACAAAACACAAATTATATGTCCCATAAATACAACTGGGAAACTCTGTCAGTGAATTGTTCTACATGCCCAGCCTTTGTCTAATGAATACATTATACGCCGTGGTTATAGGTCCGACACCGGACCTTCGTGCTTCACGGCTAAAGGTCCGACAACGCTTTAAAAGCTAACACTAAACCACTAAACGGAACTCTAACCCTGAAAACTAACCCTAACCCTAACCCCAACCTAACCCAATAACCTAACCTAACCAAAAATTGTAAAAACTTGCGAAAACCACGAAGAAAAAAAGTATAAAAAAATTAATTCGATTCGATCCCAGAGCTTGGCGCACCCAACACGGGTATACCTAAACCACAACACTACGGAGAATCGCTTGAAATTCGATTAAATTTACACGGTTTTATAGTTAACGAGTTTAATGATTAAGGAAATGTCGGACCAATAACCACTTCCTACATTATACATGCGCTTTCTATTTCCTAGTATTTGCTAGCTCACTCATACCTCTGCAAACAGTGTGAACAAAATAGATATACTAGAAATAATTTACACTAAAAGTAAAAAACTTCCCTTAGGCCTACTCTGGGGCGGTAAATCGCCTTAAATCGCCTAAAATCGCATTAAATCGCGGGTTAAAATTGTCGAATTTCTCTTAAATCGCCTAAAATCGCTTAAAATCGCCAACATGCATTCTGTTTGATACATTCAGTCCATGTACTCAAGTTTATCAATTGCTGCTATTTTACGGGCAAATCATGTAATCCAGGTGCTTTGCAATCAAAAGTAATGCAACATGAATTAGCAATCAAATAAGTGGATTAGGCTGACAATATTTGGTCACTCAATAGGCACCGGTCATTGACAAAAACAGAGCCTTTTTCTGCTTTATGCAGACTTTACAATAATTAGGTAATTCTGGGATCTGAAAGACCCATAGATCCCATACACTACCAGCAACAAAATTGAGCTAGTTACCAGAATGAGTTAATTTCATTATTGGTGTAAATGGAGGCTGGGCTACATTACAATTTATATGGACTATGGAGGCTGGGCTACAAATTAATCTATAATCTACATGGCTTCTCAAAGCCTAATTGCTGTTAATTAGAACAACAGTAGGAGACTAGGAAAGTCAATTAGTACGAGTGTTGATTTATATAATAAAGTCATCCTGTAATTTGTGCACTGTTGCATGTAAGATCGAGCACTGCATTGTATACAATGGTTGTACTTCGACATGTGCATGGTTATACTCTAGCTCCTAGTTATAATTATAGTGGCTATCAAACGAAAAATATACGTGAGGTTATGAGCGATTTGCAACTCTCATCTATTAAATTTTCCAGACCTGTATATACAATAAACAGTAAAACAATGATTACATCGTACATACCATACAATAGATCTTTTGTTGTTGTTTGTTTGCAGAACCTAAAACCACGATGTAGTGCGCCATTTGTTTAATACTGTATTATTTTGTTTTTAATTTTAAAATAATTTAGAAATTAGACTTCCTACCATTTATATACGATATACTTCATGTAATTTAAACATTACGGCATTACGCCGACAGTTTCCGAATGCGTGACGATACTAGCTGTTTCTGGATATGGCATTGGGATATGATATAGATATCAAAAATTTTATAAAACATGTTGAGATTGAAACAGTTTAAATAAAATGCAAGCTAAATAAAGAAGTTTGGACATGATACAAAACAAGACAATTTCACTTACAAGGGTGACAAGGTAATTTATAGGATTATAGCTTATTCAGTTTAGTTATACTGTATAAATACATTGTGTGTTTCTCTTGTGGGTTTTTTTGGAAATAAAATATTTATTATATTTTGCAATTTTAACTCGACATAAATTAATGATATTAAAGTTTAAGACATGTGTAGTGCATGCCCTTCAGTAGAGTATATTAAATGTTTACAATATTTGTGGCATATAATGTAGCCATGAATGACCACATGACCCCACAAGATGAACCCAAATTGCTTCTAAATAGAGAATGGATGAAAAGTTCATGAATATTGAAATTTATATGTGAATCAGGTTAAATACAATAATTAGTTAACCTAGCTTTATATAAAATGTACATACATGTTCTAATAATTGTATTTTGCTTCATACAATGCATATGTGTGTGGAAACATTACATTATCATTTAGCTCACTCCCCACATTGGGGCTTTTCAGTGACCGATTACATCAAGTACTATGATTACTTATGTTAGCCTAGACTATTTATCTTTACAACAATGAGAATATGATATTACTTTCCTAACTGTGTTTATCCTAACCCACCCTGCCAATTTTGCCTTGTGGGAGGAAACCGGAGCAAAATATAAAATTCAGTTCCTTTGAAAACACCTAAATTGCAATCCCTAAAATTTAATTTTTTTTCTTAAATCGCCATAAATCGCTTAAAATCGCATTAAATCGCAGTGCTTGAAAGTCCCAGTTTTTCCTTAAATCGCCTAAAATCGCCCAAGATCGCATTATATCGCAGCGATTTAAGGCGATTTACCACCCCAGAGTAGGCCTTTCCTTGGATGTTACATAATATTCAATTGTGCATTAAATTTTTAATGAAACAGTTAGCCATTTGATCACTTACCTTGGCAATGGCAAACGATATTGTTGTTTGGTTTCCTTCAACAATTTGTGGTGAATACGCACGTCCTTCATGTTTATTATGGTTGTGCTTGGCAAAATGGTCACTATTCATCTGAATACCAAAAGATTTACATTTAACTTTACATCTGTAATGCCTTTTTCGCTGCATTTTCGACTTCTTTGAAGGGGGCTCTCCAGATGCGCCCCCTTTCCCCTTGTTTTCTGTGTATATGTAAATGCACGTATTATAATGACTTTCGATGGCACGTCGCGCGAAATGCAAACACACAAAGAATGGAATATTTTACTGAAAGTTAGTTCCCTACCGTCCATACTTCTAATTCATTTTATCCTCTTTGCAACTTTCTTTCACAGTTTTGTATTTGTGGACAGCTTATCTTCAAAACGTATACTTGAAGCGGAATGGTAGAAGAGAACGAAGGACGAGAAGCTAAGCTTTGCGTGCTTCCGATGACCCGTCTAGCCGACTCACACCCCTCATGCCATGTCATGCTGCCCGCTCTGCAATGAGCATGGAATGAGGATATTGAGGCGGTGAATGAGTCTTTTCAATTCTTTTTAATTTCTTAAAATTTTCGACTAGATTTTCAGTAGTTTTTCCAGACCTTTTCTTAGTTTTTGCCCGACGAGAGTACCGTTTCGAAAGATTGGGGGTGAGACACCCCCAAACCCCCCTGTAGTTACGCCCCTGCTCCAACGACCAACGCCACCTGATCTACTTCGATAGCTCAGTTGGCAGAGCGGGGGACTGTAGTTGTTCGCAGTAATAATCTCTAGGTCACTGGTTCGAATCCGGTTCGAAGGATTCTAAATTTTAGATGTTAGAGTTATAAACCGAGAAGGAGGTTTATGACTGATATATTGCCCCCGAGGACCCGCAGCGTTCGAGGGTAATATAACAGTTATAAACCGCCTTTCGAGGTTTATAACTAACTTATATCTCATTTGTGGAGGTTTTCTAACATATTTTGTCATTTTCAAAAATTTTTGATGAAAAATTCTCGCGTTTTGTCGAAAAGTTTGATGTAATCATTTATTCAAGGCTATAAGCTAGTTATAAACCTCGGACGAACAAAGAAAACCGACGCAAGTGTGATATAAGTGTGTTTAAAAACCTAAAAAAGCGTCCTCTTTCTCGAATCTGGAGTAAGTGTGCAATCATTAAACCGTTTCTTAAAGTATAACTGAAGATGGCAGAGAAGTACTAATCGAATATTATTACTGAAAAAGCACATGCGCAATGGGAGAGTGAAGAGTTTACACACTGAACTAGCTTGTACGCCTTCCGGTTTTAAGAGGTTAGGCAGGTAGAGACGCAGCCTGCGAATATTCCTCCCTTTCAAACTATTCCACGAACACTCTTTTTCCGGTAATCAATTAATGTTAACAAATTGTTAGAGCGAGAGGAATTTAAATAATCTGCACGCCACTTCAGCTACTCGACTTATTTATAGCGAATCTACGTAATGACAATATTATCCAAAATCGCGAGGTTCGCCTCCGGGCACATCCCACATTTCTTTTGGGTGTCGCACAGAAATATCACCTGTTCGTAAAGTGTTAATACCAAACGTCAGCAGTCCTCGGTAGTATAGTGGTGAGTATCCCAGCCTGTCACGCGGGAGAACGGGGTTCGATTCCCCGCCGGGGAGCAGCATGGTTTTTGACCGGCTACCATTCTTTTCTCCCTGTTCTTCCGACAATTAGAACAATTGATATCATTTTTTTAAGTTTAGTTAATTTTTGCAGATACTTGATTTGCGCAACGAAAACTGCTAGACTCGCATCTTTAGGCATGACTGTGGTTGCGAAAATACGTTATATTGTGGGGCAATTGGCAAACAGTGGATTACATAATATTTTGATGCTTTTGCAAAAATATGTGCATCAATGTAACATAATGAACGTAATGTATTACGCAATATTACGTAACTTTCAGTCGAGCTTTTCATTATTTGATCCTCATATTCGTGAGTCCCACAAGCGCGACGTTGACAAACTGTAATTTATATAAATAATGGATACAACTGGTACACATCGAGGTCCGGATTGGAGAAGGTTATCCAAAACATTGAGCTTTTAACCCCTCTTCAGCCAACTAGACCTCATTTTTCTTCCTTGATTATTTTAAATTAAAGCAATAGTTATATAAAAGCAGTTTTGAAACCCTCAGGAGTCCCGCAAGGCACCAAATTAGGGCCGTGACTGTTCCTGCTTATGATTAATGACCCAAATTATCATCCAAGATGTTAGTAGCTGGAAATTCGTTGACGACACAACCATATCAGAAGTTGTCCAGCTTGAAACAAATAGTCAAGTCCAAGATGCAGTTACATCAGTTGAAAAGTGGTCCACTGAAAATAAACTCCAGCTAAAAGCCAAGAAACGCAAAGAACTCATCATCGACTTCAAGCATTCCAAACACGTCTTCGAACCTTTGACAGTAAATGGTAACCTACTCAGTGTTGTAAAACATTTCAAGATCTTAGGTCTGAATCTCTCAAATGACCTCCAGTGGAACGTCCATATTGGGGAAATAATTAGAAAAGCTAATAAGCGTATGTACTTCCTAATTTTACCACTGCGGACATCCGAAATTTTTTCTGTACATGTATTAGACCTCTGTTGGAATACTGCTGGCAGGTTTTCCACCATTCCCTCCCGAAATATTTTTGTGATGACTTCGAAAACGTCCAAAATAGAGCGCTGGCTATCATTTCCCCGAACCAGTCATATGAGCATAACGCTCTAAATCTACCAGCATCTACCGCTGCCAATATTCGTCAAAATTTTAAAGTCATATATGGTCACTAAGTCACTGCACACATATATGTATTTTTGTATAATATAAAAAGTAAACATACCTGACATATAGATATGGGCACATGCAGGTGATGATAATGTTGGGAGAGTAGAGTTGCAGACTGCAGAAAAGAATGGGAGGTAAGGCTCTCTAGCCTCTCTTATGTATAGACCGCATGGAAAACGTGCACCACTTCCTGCAGACAAGGCTGGATCCGCCCTTCCCTGCTGGCAGAGGTCTCTATTTGTGCTGGGAACTCAAAGGAGAAGAGACCTCTGCCTAGATCTGACACGTTTTCTGTCGCGCATGTGCAAGAATTGCCATGACAACGAGTGATTTTCATCACGTAATATCAAACCAGTTTTTGCGGGAGCAACTTGGAAATTCAAAGACTTACCGTAGTTTGAAGGTAAACAAATGTATCTCGGCCCGATAAAACAGAAAAAATTGCTTTCTTTTGTTCTTCTGTCACTGCTTTCACAGTTTCATCTTTGAAAATATCAATTACATAAATTTGAGCACCTCAGACAACATGAAAAGCCTCGAAATGACCACGCTGTCCAAGCCGCCATTTTGACACTATGGGCTCAATGTCATTACAGCGTAATTCAGCTCTGAGCATGCGTACTATTTGTTTCTCTAAACCGGTTTCAGAACTTGTTTTACAAACTGGTTTGACTCGTCCACGATCATGGACTGAGGAAGTGTCGGATCTAGGCAGAGATCTCTTCTCCTTCGAGTTGCCTCCGTGCTTTTCTCGCAATTAGAACAATTGATATAATCCTTTTTTCAAGCTTAACTAATTAATTTTAGCAGATTCCTGATTTGCACAGGGAAAACTAGCCTTCTCTCCAGTCATGGCAGTGCACATGCCTGTGACAAATTGGGAAAATATGTTATATTGCTTCCATAATATTTGGCTGTAAACTGCCATGCCAACAACGTAATGAACATAATATCGCTCTGCCAAGCAATTTTGCGTAAATTTGCAGCTTTTCACTAATTATAATATATCCCTCATGCATGCATAATTGTGTGTTGCCACCGATCTGCTGCTGCTATACCAAATATTACAAAACACAGCGACACAGAGTAGGAAAAACAAAATTCTCGATCAAAAGTGTGCTACTATAGTGTTGCACATAAATGTGTGAACAGATGAGATACCTTTCCAATATTTCAGGTGCTGTACTTCATGAAATTGCAGAAGATTATTTTAAAATAAATAATTACAATTGGCAACGCGCAAAAATAGCTGGAACTGGTGAACAGCATTTTTTATCAGTATAATGACGTTATGTACTTTAACTAAGCGGCGTATATAGCCGCCAGCCCTGTTGCTTTAGTTTATAGAGACAATGAACAAGGAATAAATGAATTAAAAGGAAAGAGTGTATTTTGAATATGAATGCATGGTAATTTTTTAAACTATTTGTCTCGAACGCTACCAGATCTCCTTCGATAGCTTAGTTGGTAGAGCGGGGGACTGTAGTTGTTTTCATGCAGCAAAAATCCCTAGGTCACTGGTTCGAATCCAGTTCGAAGGATTCTAAATTTTAGATGTGCGGGTAAAAATCTAAAAAAAATTCCTCTTTCTCGAATGTGGAGTAAGTGTCCAATCGTTCAACCATTTGTCTTGTGATTTCTCGGGTGGAACTAATTAGACAAGGCCGGGGCGCTTATATATAGGTCGGTGAAACGCGCTGATGTCGCGCTGATCGATGTGTGATGCGGAAAAGGACTGGCACGAGCATGCTTTTCGGCAAAAGTTGACAAGGAGCGTGATTTTTCCTGCTGTTGTATTTTCGCTGTTTTTTCATTAACTACGAAATTCTTGAGAATGTTCTTGCACTGTAACGACGAAGTAGTAACTAGTGTATCGTACGAATGCTTGTTTGGCCTGTATAGTTGAATTTTGAAAGAAATATTGCGGATAATGTGTCGGGCTTTTGATGACTTCAATGAAGGGAAATTTTCAAAACAGCATTTGGGCATGTTATCAAGTCGTCCAAACTTCGAAATTCAGTTGATGGTAAAGATTATAATTATGTGCTTATCTCCAAAGGTTTTCATAAGACTCGGAGTTGAGCAATTGAATATACAGCTTTGGAATGTGAGGTATTTTTCTGTGTTAAATTTTGCCTCGTTAGACCATTATTTAGCCACAAAAATAAACAACAATTGTATTTTGGCCATGTCATGATTTTTTGTTATTATGTTAATAATTTCTACGACTTTTAAGGCATTCAATTGAAGTAATTCTGAGCCGTAAACACATTTTACTTCTTGGCCTTTGAATCAAAATACGACTCGCTCGGACGTTTGTTGAGCGCAATAGTCAAAAA